CACACACACACACACACACACACACACACACACACACACACACAGCATCAGTAAACGCACTATATCTGTAGATATGTCAGATTAAATTGGAATTTATGCAATATTTGTTTATATATATATATATATATATATATATATATATATATATATATATATATATATATATATATATATATATATTAATGCATAAAATCTAAACTTGCATAAATTCCAATTTAATCTGACATATCTACAGATTTAATGCGTTTACTGATGGTGTGTGTGTGTGTGTGTGTGTGTGTGTGTGTGTGTGTGTGTGTGTGTGTGTTTCTTCAGGGTCAGCATCAGCGTGAAGAAGACTACCTTTCCCAGAAGTCTCTGAGCAGCAGGCTTTCGTGGTCAGCGTTGGGCCGCAATTACAGACTGATGATCATGGAGTGTAAAATCACACTGCTGGACGGCACCGACTACACCTGCACTGTGGAGGTCAGCAAAGCATGATGGGATACGCTGGAGCTTCAGCTTCAGTGCAGATAATGTCGTAACATGTGACAACCCCTGATAGATAAGGGACTAAGCAGAAGAAAAATGAATGAATTTTAAAAATCACAGAAAGGTTTTAGGCAAATTGTGCAGCTCTAAACACAGATACATTAAAGCTCGAGTGCTTAAAAATTGCATATTGTTTTGAAAATGTGCATAATATAAAATAAAGAAAAATTATATAAAAATATAAATATGTAAAACATTAGTTAAAAGATATATATAAATATAAAATATCTAAATATCTATGTATTCAATAATAAAAAGGAAAAGAGAGCATTGTAAATGTACAGAGCAATACTACTATCTGTAATGTCATCGAACGCTGACAAAGGAGTGTGGATCCAAATGCAGGGTTTAACAAGAATAATCAGGCAAGCCACAGTCGATACAGGGGCAAACAGATGTATACAGGTAATCCAGAGTCGTGATCAGTAAACAGGCGGACGGACAAAAGGCAGGCAGCAGACAAAAAATAAAGCAAGGCAAGGGTCTAATACGGCAAGGCTAAACGAGGAAGACGCGTCGTAATGTTCACAATACAGCAGAGGTGGAAAGAGCACCTGAAAACCATACTTGAGTAAAAGTACAGATACCTTACTGTAAAAATTACAAGTTACAAGTCACCAATTCCAATAAGACTTGAGAAAAAGTATTAGAGCAGGGGTGTCAAACTCAATTCCCGGAGGGTTGAAGCCCTGCACAGTTTAGTTCCAACCCTGCTCCAACACACTTACCTGTAGGTTTCAAACAAGCCTGAAGGACTCAATGAGTTTGATCAGGTGTGTTTAATTAGGGTTGGAACTAAACTGTGCAGAGCTGCGGCCCTCCAGGAACTGAGTTTGACTCCTGTGGATTAGAGTATTTAATTTTAAAAGAACTTAAGTATTTTACTCATACTGAATTTAGGCTCAAAGAACACCAAGAAAGGTTTTATATCCTAATATAGAAATTACGTTGAACACCTCAATGTTTTAAAATGGCAAAACAAAGATAAAAAAAAGAAGAACAAAAAGCCTCAAACTCAAATGTTCAAAAAAGGTACAAACAATTAAAAAAAACAAAAAAAAAGTAGTAAAACTTAGTAAATACAAATCAGAGCTGACTGTCATGTGATTCACCTCTCAGTCTCAGAGGGAGCCAATACTTTTATTTTATTATGAGTTTTTTAATTGATTAGGATGCTTTCTCTGTATTAAACTTAAACAAAGAGGAGCCGTTTTATTTTTCAACTTCATAAACTACATATAAATTCAATGAAAAATACATCACTAATAGTCATGTCATGTCGCAGTGGTTTTTGCCATATCAGTAGCCCCTTTCACACATACAGACCTTTCGGAAAGGTCTGTATGTGTGAACAGGTCCTTTTTGAAAATACCGGTAAATTCGTTCTGGCTATTTTCCGGAAAGAGAAGTTGTAACATTACCGGTAATTTGCCGGAATGCTGCGCTGTGTGAATGCAGAAGGAAGATTCCCGTAATAAGCGCGTGCACGTCTAGAACGTGCTGACGTGAGACGTCTGCTTTAGCCAATCACAACAGTCAGACGCATTTACGTCCGCGCGGTTTGTGAGAATAAAAGCCTTTGAATATTTTTCCAGACACATTTAGCTGCTAGAAGTTAGTCAGATCACGTTTATATGTTCTTCTTAATGCCAACTGTGTAAATAATCATCGATGAGATGCTTATGATAAGCCGTTGTTTGTTTACCTTCAAGCTTTGCGTGCGCCTATAAGCGCCTGCACACGCACATATTATGAACATCTCGACATGCGAAAGTGATCCTGCGAAAGTTGTTCACAATATTGATCATCTACAGAGTTTGTAATTTAGTCGAATGTTTACAAACACAAGCGCAGCCGTTTAAAGCTCATTTGTGGTGAATGATGTCAGAATTTACCGGTATTTTGGAGTGGATGTGTGAATGCTCTTTTCCGGAAAATTTCCGTAACGTCCTCGCCTGTGTGAACAGCGCTTTTTTGAATATACCGGTAAAGTCGTTCCGGAAATTTTCCGGATATTTACCGGTATCACTGTGTGAAAGGGGCTAGTAACTGTATTAAACTCACATTTAATGAACATTAAATAGACTCTTACTTCAATGTGTTTTTTCAAATTTGATGATACATTATTAAAAGCACTTATTTTGGGTGTTCGTGGCAAACAAAGTAGACACTGCATCCCGTAAGAGCCATTCTGCATATCGGCGAATGAGAACTTTTCTTTCAGATAAGGCCATGGATGGTCATCAGTGCTGGCACTGCTTGATGTGCCGACTTCGGCTTCATCACTGGCTGCAGCCATGTCGCTAATTAAACACCAGGGGCCTCATGTATCAACGCTGCGTACGCACAAAAACTTTGCGTACGCACAAAAACTTTGCGTACGCCAGGTTTCATGCTCAGAATCGCTCACGTTTGGATTTACTAACGATGAACTGAATGTGGGAATGTGCGCAGCTCCACGCAGCTTTCTGGCTGGCGTACGCACATTTTTTGTGCGTGTCTGTTTTATTTCCATTGGCGACTCCTAGAGGCAGTTGTGTTAAATTCCTCTCTACAAAGTGTCTAAGCCTTGCAATGGCAGCTGTATGAGACGGGTTCATCTAGCAGGTATATAAGGTTTCCATACCATACAGTTGACCAGCCAAACATTAAAGCACAATTTGCAGCGGTCGCCTGTTTTCCCAATGTAATCTGAGAGATCTACTGCACACACATTGCTATAAAGACACTATCTGAAGATGAATTTGCATGCGTGAATCAGAAACATTTCCATTCAATAAATGTGCAAATAAAATATGATGCTTATTGATATGAACTTATTGATGATTCCTACTTGTCTTTC